CAAATTTTGACTCCACTCATGCTTACACATATGAATTTGTAGGTGCATAATTGTTTGTACCTATGCTTATTTGTGAGATGTAACAAATTAAACCCAAAACAAGCATGCATAACCATTATAATGAAATAAGCAAATTATAAGAAACTTACACATAGATGCCCCCTAGCAACAAAAAGAGGAAAAGGATAAAAGATAAAAAGACTGTCAAACTTTGTGTAAATGGAGACTCAAGCCATTGTACTTCTATTGATTCAAGTAATTGATGGGACTACTATTTAAGTGCAATCAGGGCAAAGCAACTACAGTATATTCTACACTTTAAAAGATTTAATCAGTTCTTGTTGCAAGTATTTTGTTTCAATTGGACTTAATTACATTGAAATTAAAGTTCGATGGCTTGATTAAATAAAATAAAGGATAATAACTTAACTGCACATGCAAAATTAATGGCTTTTCTAAACTCTATCTTTAAAAGAAAATAATAGAAAAAAAAGAAATAATCAATGTGCCATGATTTTACAACACTATATCACATCTGGAAAGGGTTTAATGTCTTTTTTATAGTTTATCTTTTAAAAAGAGAGATAAAGAATGAAGGATTGAATGAAACAATATTATGTGCCACAATAATGATAATATTCTATTATATTGATGACAAATCAGCAATGCTCAGTTACCTGCCTCTAGACATATAAAGAGGGATATTCCTAGATATTGTTAACAGATTGGCCCTAGTTTTACGGAGAATGGTGGTCAATAAGACAACTAGGGTGGAAAAAGGAAAGTCTTATCTAATAACATTTTTACCCTGGAACAAGAAACAGCCAAGACATACCTCAAGATCCCGTTCAAAGCTTAAATCATGAAACTGAAGCAGCATCTTCTCCAACATAACCAGTGAATAGTATGCCTCTTTCCAAAAAGGAATAGTAGATTCATCAGAAAGATCCATCTCTGTGTTGGTAAGAGCATCAATAGTAGAGTGCAAAATACGTTTAGTCACTGGCAATATGCGACTTATATGCTTTTGAAAACCTTTTTTCATGACCTCAATCACTAATCCCAATACCTGCAGAGACATACGTGACCATCATAAATGGAACACATGAGAATTGTGGAACCTAAAGAAAATATATTTACAGCGAACTTGATTAGATTCAAGTCCGGGAATGTTTCAGAATTAGACTTAACAAAACAATATATCCATTAACTTCCAGGCTCACATCAGCAAGGAAGAATGTATTGGAGTCCCCTACCCCCACATCCCCAACAACAAAGAATAATTTCAAAATTTTTTTAACAAACAAAATAGAAAAGTTAATTCAGCTGCTCAATTTATAGAAAAACCATCATTTCAACAATTCCAAGTCTTGGAAGAACTTTCCTAATTAAGTTGAATCTAGAACTCTAAAGAATTAAAGCAGAGTCAAGATAATCATAATTAGCTCAAACTCAACTGATATCCAAGCTCATGGCTTACTACTTGTAGAACAAACCAAGCTCATGACAGAACTTGTTCAAATTAAAGCATTTAGTCAACAGATCACAGCCCAGCTCATCACCAAAGTATAAATAATACAACAAAAGGCCCCACTAGTCGACCATAAGGTCCCTACACCAGCAATAACTTGAGTGTGGGAGGGGTATTACAACAAGAGCCACTGTTCCTCATCTTAGATAAGAGCACTTTGGAACATTCACCCTATATAGTATTAGTAAGAGACACTTTCATTAGGTACATATGTCACCAAATTTTCTCAAGCAATAAATGTGGTAAACATGTCATAACACAAATAAAGAGCATTCATGGTTTAGAAGGTCATACATGTGGTTCAGAAAATCTGCCCCTATTCCTAAAAATATACTGCATTTCTATTCTGAAACTCCAAGCATGTAGCCAACATCATTCTCAAACATTAATCCAATAAACGCCTTTAGAGAACTGTACCTGTGCACCTGCACTCCATAGTTGCTGCTTCTCACCCATATACCAAGACAGACTGTACTCAAGAAAGGAATTCACTGAATGTTGGCTTACACGACCAATAAGGAGCTTTATAATTGCCCCAGTCATAGACCGGACTTTATTATCCTGATCATTAGCCAAGCACACCACCAGGTGTACAAATATGGTCTGCGACTGCTCATCAACAATGCTTTTCGGAAATTTGATCATAATTGCATGGAGCATTTCAAGCACAGATTCTCTCCCAGTCGGATGCTCATACCTGCAAGAAAAGCAGACTGGTTTAAGACAACTCCAAAAAAAAAAAAAAAAAAAAAAAACAGATCTTCAAATACTTTGACACATGCCTTAGATTTGCAAGCAGAAAATCTAAATGTTGCTGCAAGCGTTTCTCTGAAAGATGATAATCAAGTAAGAATTGCAACAAAATCTGACTGCATTTCTTGCGAATTGGTTCCACCTGACTAGTTACCATCAATTCTGCAACTTGAACTACAATATCATATATCTCATGAACAACTAACTTGCGTTTAACAATTGCCTTTAGAAGTGACAAGGCAACAAAAGAGGGATTCCTTTCAAGGTCCACAAACATTGGAAACTGAACTAACAGATGTAACTGATCCGAGGATAATGTGATTTTTGTGCTTCGCAAAAGCACAGTTAACAATTTTAGACATGACTGCATAAGAGGATTTCCAGGATTTACTGATCCTTGTGCGATATTCAACAGCGTCACCTTCAATTTATCAGACTGTGATTCAAGGGATGGCAGAGGCAGCCTTACCAAAGGAGTAAGACATCTAAGGGATGCAGATAAGACATCTTCATATTTGGAACTCAAGCAGTTGCCAAGCAACTTGATAAAAGGATCCAACATTGATAACAGTTGTTGATCATTTTTGTCCAATTTTATGCTTTTTATTCTATTTTGCAAAACCCCTAAAGCAAATACAGTAATAAGATGTGAACATGCAGATTTAGTTCCAAAAGCCTGGCCAGAGAAAACAGTTTTCTCATTACCATGCTTATTTGCCTCTGTACCAGAAGAATTCACACCCAACCCATTTTCTTCATTAGTTGCATCTGCTATGAGGCCATATACAAAGATGAATAGATCAGTCTGATTTACAGTTGGATTGCACTCAATTCCGTCTGCTATGTGCTTCAACATATTCTCCAATTTTGCTTTCACTTTCGGTGTCAGATGCTTTTGCAAGTGAGCTGTAACGGGAGAAAGAAGCTTTACTGCATGGATTTTGAAAGTTATGCTTTGGGCAATCAATTTCAGGGTTTCAAAAGACTTGCACTTTCTAGTTTCTTTCATTTTAGAAGCAATCTTTTCCACCTCTTTCTCCTCAGCAACATCTCCAAGAATATCATTTTCCACCACGCAGAGGAGATCTTCTAAACAATAATCCAAGCTCCCATAAGTAGACTTTGAAAGAGTCTTTGACAAAACAAAATTAAGTGTGTATCCTAGAACATGCAGCTCAAATCCCCGTTTCAATGTTGCTCGCAAAACCCGAACTATAAACTGCAGATATTCAAGTCCGAGCTCCTTCAGACATTCAGCCAACGCAGACCTAGCTTCATCACGAGTACTTTCTAGACGATTCTTTAGAAAATTTGAAATGCGGTAAATGATGCTAGACAGCTGGGACTCCATTGTATCTCCTGGAAGAAGCTTTAGAAGTTTCAGTGCCGCAAGACTGATATTAACATTGACATTACCAGAATCAGAACTCAATAAATTTTGTATCTTTGGCAGCACTGTGTTTTGAAGGCAGGTCTGTATCTCAGCAACCATAACAGAATTACCACCATTCTGCAATGATGAAGAAATAGTACTACTGGTTTCAGAACCTAAAATTTTGTCCAAGGAATCTTTGGATCCTTGATTGGAACAAATTTGTGCATAACTAAATTGGTCCAAGATACAGCAAATTAACCGTAAGAGAACCTTCTGCTTGTCTGGCTTCATCCTAATCTCCCTAAAGCAGCGAAGCAGCAATGTGTGGTATGATTTCCATTCCATCTTAGCAGAAACTGAAGCAAGCGCTTGCATGCATGCAGTTCTAACATGTTCATCCTTTCCATGTTGTAAATCGAACAACATGTTGAAAAAGAGTGGAATAAACACTTTATTTATGATATCCTGCAAGTCAAAAGCAGCATAGCTAGTTTTTAGCGCTTATAATAAAACCTCCCCTAGTTAAACACAAAAGTGTTAACAATGAAGTTACCTTAGACATATTGCTTTTACTGATAACATCTGCAAAGCGAGACAAAGCCTTTGCTCTCTTATGTTTCTGCACAAATAAAGAGGCAATAGAGAAAAATCTTCAGGCTCTTTTGTTGGAACAATCATTAACAGCTAAAGCAAATTAGCATTTGTTAGCACTAGCAAAAGCAGATGAAATACACAAAGGCTGAAGAAAAGTTACAAACTCCACTTCAGAATAGAAATATTTGCTGAACTTACAAGAACAAATTATCAAAACAAACAGACCAAAAAAACAGCAGTCTTTCATCACATGCATTCAGAGACCATTGTCAATTACACAAATGATTTATGTGAGAACATAAGTGGCCAAAACAGCATAGAAAGCAAGGAAATAACCTGTAGATGGATGATATTGTTGAAAAAATCTTGATCAGCATCTTCAGAGCATAAAGCTCTGAACAAATTAAGATTTGCCAATTGTGGAAGCTTTACCACCATCTCTCGCAGTAAATCAATCCATTCCTGAAACCATTTCCCATCCATTAAAAAACCTCCTGAATATTATGGACTGAAGACACAGATTTTATTTTTTTTTAAGTTATTGCAACTGATATTGCAAATATCACGGATTTTTCTCCATGTACTACATCTTTGTAACACTAAAAGGATACAGAGAAATTGACTATAATAACAGCAAACTATGTGTACGAAGTACAACAATACGCATCAATGAGTGTCCTCATGCACATAAGCATGTGTACATCATGTGGTGCACATCTATATCACATTCGTTGGTATAATAATTAAAAAATTGCTTTCGCAAGTGAAATTGTGACCATCAACAAGGGTCCTTATGCACAGCAGTACTTGTGTACATAGTTTGGAGCATGCTGTATCAGATGGGGTGGTTAGCTAACATATCACCTATTTCTACAAGAGGACTAAAATAGGTCTAAATCGTTTGATACCTTTCTCACAGAAATTCCCCAGCTAATTGCATCCCCCATATTTTTTAAAAGAAATTTGTTTATAATACGCTGCACGCATGCCCTTGTCCAACAGCCTTCATCATCTATCATCATCTCTTCAGCAGTTTCATGGTGATCTGTAACCTCTTGGCCAAGAATTTTGGCAGAAAATTCAAGAAATGTAAGAAACAACCTATAAGCATGATGCCTTAAGATTAATTCTTCTGATGACATATCGTATACACATTGTGACAAAATGAGTAATGTATGCTCCACTGGCACAGCACGAAAGAATCCAATTCCAATCTCTTCATATCCCTTGCCTATAGTGTCATAATCAAGCTCATCCAACTCAAAAGCTGAGGTTGCATTCAATTGCCTGACATGTCTAGCCTGCACTCCAACCATCAGTATTAAAACTTATGATATTCATAGATAAAAGAAACTCCCAAAATAAAAAATTAAAAACAAGGCAAATATTACCACCACAAGTACAGAAGCATCAGTTCTAGCAAGTGCTTCAAGAAGATCACAAATAAACACTCGAATATCCAGTTTAACAGAAATAAGAAGTGGAGCAACTGCATTAATTATCTCAGTGGTCCTCTCACTCCCTAGTACAGGTATGATATCTCGAATAACTTGTATGGCATCAAGACAGATACCTGCAACACCAATAAAATACATTAATACAACAAAGAAAGAGAATAATTTTGTATCAATACTTATTCTAAAATATTCTTACCAGAACCTTGGACTCTGTTTGATAAGAATGGAAGCAAGATATCAACAAATTTCTTTGCCAGCAATGGATCCCTTATGTACTTCGATAACAATTTAAAAATTCTAATTTCTGTTTCCCCAGGACATCTGACCAATTTTCTGTAACAGCAAAAAGAATATATGAATGAAAAATTCAGAGATGGCCTTTTCCATCCCCTAATAACTTTTAACTCAAAAGAAAACAACTCAAATATATATGAGTCGTTAATACAGAAACCATAAAAGGGGAATTAAGAATGAAGTAGGGACAGAACACAGTTCCACATGTTGAGAAAAGAAAAAGAGAGCAAAAAGTATTCATTAACATTCAATACAGACCAGAATATTAAACTTCAAAAGAACACATTATTAGTCATAATAAAAAGAGGTTTCCGCTACCAATGGGGCCATAAAGGGTCTTGGGAAAAAAAGACAGAGAAAAGACAGGTGTCTCAACTTACATGTTCACTGGCATTTTCTATTAAACATAATATCTAGACAACCTTATATATGCCTCTTATAGACTTCGACTTTATTTTGGGGGGGAAAATCTATCATAAAAATTTTCTAAATATCTTGAGAGTAGAAACTTAGAATTAGTTTTTTGTTTTTGGACCAAGAATCGGAAAGGTGTCCAATGTTTCTCATTGGTCCTGTGACAGAAGGCCTTAAATGGAACTACCACACATTACCATACTTAAAACATTCTCTATCTATTTCTCTTCCCCTCCCCCCTCCCCCCCCTTTCTCTCTCATTATCATTTACTTCTATTTCTTAAAAAAAATTTCTACCCTCCAAATATATTACTACTAAATATTAAGTTCTGTTTGAAAAAAAAAAATCTCCCTCAAATTTATCTACTCCAAGTGAACAGCACCTTACTCAAAGTGCACAACCAGGAACTGAAAATTTATAAGGTCATATCACTGACATGCTTCTTGGAAGATTTCAATGATGATTATGAGAAAAAGTTCTTATTTCTACAGTAGTGCCAGATTGGTGAAGCAGTAAGAAAATGGATGATTCATTATGTGAGCCAGGAGGAAAAGCAAAGGAAAAACATTTCTTTTCTTCTTCCAAAGTAACTATTTATTTCATAATAGTTTGAAGCAGTTGATTCCTCGATACTTCTACACATACCAGCATACCTTTGCATGAGAATTACAGGTAAGATGAATCACTCATACCTCTTAGATGCACTATCACTCTGAAAAATATGATGCAAGCTGCAGACAAGTGCTTCTAGGTTTGGATATATCACACTTTGGATGGGACTGTTTTCATCATCCAACTCACAATCAAGATCAAGCAGGTTTGAAATAAACTTCAGAACACAAGATAAAATAGCTTCTGAAGCAGTTGGGACAGTTAGAATTGAAAAAATATCAGGAACAAGATTCCTTTCCCTACACAATAGGGACACAAGTCGGTGGCTTCGACTCATAGCCAGAAAGCAAGAGAACAGGGAACTTGGTTTTTCGCTACTAGAACCCTCCTGTTTGAAACCATGAATTAAAGGTTTCATAGATGTGAAAAATAGGTCCCAGAATTCACAACCAAAATCATGGTCCTCGTATTTATTGAGAACAAGAGAAACAACTTTCAGACATAGAGACCTCAAATCTTTGAACTGCTTGATGGCAATGCCAGTCTGTCAAAGAAGAAAAAAGTATCGTTAACAAGCTGTGTGTCTTTTAAATGCAACCTAAACTTAGTTTTCCTCAATAAAGAATCTGGTTATTTGTAAAAAGCCAATTAGAAGGAAAAGATGGTGAAAAGAAAACCATACAAGATGCTGTTCCATCATTGATAGAATAAAAGATCAAACAGAAATCCTCTTGAATACTACAAATAGTTTGTTACGCTATTCGAATTTAAAAGAGACAAAGTATTTGACAAAAGGAACCGCTATCAATCCAATTGAAGAACAAAGAAAAAAGACAGTCACAGCACAGCTGGAAATATTACCTGCAGATCATTTACCACTGCACTGTCTTTGTCATCAGAGATCAGCTCAACACCAGGATGGTCTTTTACCAGGGAGGATTCAGCAACCCTGGCAATGTCAATGCTCGAACTGCAGCTTGCTAATACCCGAACAACGCATCCCATCAATAGATCAAGAAAAGGTCTGACATGAAATTCATCAAAAACACCAATAACATCTTCAATTACATGCAGAAAACCATATCTTTTCTTCCAGGAAAGGGCTGTTATATTTTCCACCGTGAAATATTTCAGATAATTTGGTGCGTGAAATTCATCAATAGAACTATTTGGTAAGTTCCAATACAAGTTCGAAGCACAATCATCTTCATTTGATATAATTTGCAAGGGCTTTAATAACAAAGCAAAGAAAAGAGGGAGCTCATGAGCATCGAGTTGAGCTATGAAACCAAGAACTGCCTTTCGAAGATGTACACTTGCATGCTGTCAAAATAAAGTCATAGCATCAACATTCAAGGTGATAAGAATGACATGATAGTGAAAATAAATATATATGGATAGAATTGGAAAACCACATAGGCTGAAAGGTTAGGGGTAAAGAATATTTAAATCATATTCAATTGGACTTCGATATACCTTCCGAGAAGCAAGTGTTTTCAACTTTCTAATTTTTGGGATCAGAAGACGAACAACTAAAGGCACCAGAGTAACCCTATGACCTTCTTCAATTAGACCAGATTCTTTAGATAAACTCCATGTTGTTAGTTCTTCTCTCAGATATTTTGAATTGATTAGATTTTTCAGATGCTGGCCATATGGGAGTAAGAAGTCATCTTTCCACAACAAAAGGCAATCAAGAACCCTTGCCTGTATTTCAGCATCAGTCTCATCTAGAAGCCTGATAAAGACACAAATAAAATACATGACCCATCATAAAAGATTGTTAAATTTGAGTTTAGATTTTGTGACAACTAACACAATTTAAAGGAAGCGACAAATGAGACACTATAAAGCACCAACAACACTGCACCAACCTATTCTGCAGAACATCTTTTACAAATTGATTTCGATAGAATGATCTAGGGTTCCGCATCAGTTTCAACAAGCTCAGCCATTCTTTAAGGATTCCCTTCCACTCCTTCCTGTCATAAATGTCTGAATTGAACGATCCCACGCTGCAATACCAAATGAGAAAACAAACCAACTTCTAATAAGATGATTTACTTCAATGCTTCATATCATAAGAAAAACAAATCAATGGTACAAGATAAAGAAGATGACTACCTCACAAGATTATCGCTATCATAACCCAAAAACCTTAAAAATAGAGGTATAATTTGACGGGACTGAGATTCAGCTACAGAAGGAATCTTTTGTAGAGATTGGAGCAACAAGGACAAGACTGATGTGACTGGTGTGTTATCAGATGCAGGCTTAAGAAACAAATTGAATTTCGTTACAAGATCTGAACATTGAAAAAGGGAAAATATTAGCAATCAGTATTTATATCATGAAAAACAACAATCATGTTACATACCCTAGACCAAGTTTCAATCATAAAATCCACTGACAAGATATAATATCAAAAGGAAACAAATGAATGCCAATTTAATAGCAAAATACATATCTTCACATACCACTAGATGAGTTAAATAAATTGGCATTTACTCTCTCAAGTAGAAGATCAGATGCCTGAACCAGGGATTGACATTGCTCAAAATAAGAAATAAATCTATCCCAGACAAGTCCAGTGTGCTTGCTAATCAGTACTGAAAGGCACTCAGAAGCTGCATCCCATATATAGCTAAAACGATTATGGAAGATGCCAATTATCCCATTCAAGACAAGTGATCCATATGTTTCAGATATCCTTCCAGGAGAGAGGCCCATCTGTATTCTAGATATCAATAAGGTAACTTTCCTGCTGGTAGAAATTGAAAGAGGAGTGACCTCAATAGATAGCAAGAGCTGCAGAACCTGTTTTAAAGGATATATATTAGTATTAATCATCTAATAAATGATGGCGTCAAAGAATAAAAGCAGCAGAAGATAGTTGTACATACATTGCTATCATCAGTGTCTACAATACAAGCCTGAGAACCCTCTGTTTTTAATTTCTTCTCAGCTGGCTGATCCTTATCAGAAATTTCACAACCGAGAGGCTCATAATGGCACAAAATTCTTAGAGTTGGAAGACGAATCCCCTTATCTGGGTGACACAAATTATCGGCAAAAATGCCAACTGCATCCACAGTATTCTCTCCTTTAAGCACAGGATGATATATTTTCTTGCTGCTGTCTGCTTGCAATGCAGGCCTATCATTTTTATGATAATTTCCAAACATAACCGGTGATCAACAAGCACAATGTGTTGATAAAACAAAGATGACCAGAAAGAGTATGTGTCTGTGTGCTTTGTGAGTAAAATAAACAAGACATGTGCATGTATGTGTTTGTGTCTATATTTGGTAAATTTGGGAAAGGCCAGGGGGGAAGCGGAACTGACCAGTGGACCTTGACCCTCCATTGAAGGGGAAGGACCACTAGGCCGAGCCTGGGTTATTTAAGAAAATTTGCATACATAAATGTCAACATACCCATTCACATTATCTAAGTAATCAGCAGCAGGCAACAGTACTTGCGAGGATGATTTGCAGCCCTTGGCAAGATGTAATACTTTGCACATTTCTCCATGCCCAGGCTTTTTTGCAGAATACCATTTGTTATGGGAACCTAAAGCAGAACCAACTAGGCTTTCCCAAGTGTGTTTGGAAACACCTGCAATATATTCTGAAAGAATAGGAGAAAACCAAGAGAAAACATGATAAGGAGATACTACAACCAAATTTAAGAAAGTTAAAAATGCAGATGTGGCCATTCTTAACAACTCAAAGCTATGAATTGCAGGCAACAAAAGAAGCAGTGTTTCAGAGTACATACTGGAAACAAAGATGAAAGGCTGAATTACTTACCATCTTCAGTCATAAGAAGCTGATGAAGTGCATCTATCAAATCCATCAGCACAGATCCATTTGCTTGGACATCAAACATATGTGGATAGCAGCTTATAACTCCCCATAATACAGCCAACTTGGTGTCATCAATTTCAGCAGGTAATGAATTCCCAAGTACAATATCATTTATAAGCCTGATCCAGTTACTAATAACCCCTTGCATATAATGGCATATCTTTGAAAGTCTCCCTTCAGAAATTCCATCTAAGAAGTTAGAGCTTTGAGGGTGCATTTGCAGTCTCTCAAAGAAGGACAGTAACAAGCAAATAACTTCTTCTGATGAAGATTCTACCAAATCATTCATAGCACTGAAAATTCAATCATAAAATTTCAGAAAACTGCAGCCAAAGCAGAAAGAGTAAAGGAAGATCCAAGAAGCAACTTAGATGTTAATATTACCTTAAAATATGATCTCTGAAAATATATATTACAGAAGGGTCCTTCAGCAGCAGTTCTCTAAGAAAAGTCACCAAACTGAAACCCAAGCAACAGCGTGTCAAGAAAAAAAAAATGCAGCTAAAAGACATGGCATTTGAGACTGATTCTAAAAGAGATAATACCTTGAGTTCCCTAACTCAAATACAGGAGTCCACTGTAACAAACAGCCAGAGATGGATGACAAGTTATTAGAACCATAGAGTCCATCAAGAATGTGTAGCATTAGCGACAGAACCTTATCCACAACTTCCTGCAAACAACCAATTCCTTTGCTAGAAGGCAGTACAATTTTCTGCACCAAGGACCCTACAACTTTAAGCATTTGTTGATAATCTGCGCGACAGTACATTAATTAGAATAGGCAGCAAGGTAAAAGAAAGTCAAAATAATGTTTAACAGAAAAAGAAAGAAACCAGAATATCAAGACCATTATCAACTCACTAGAAACACCACGCCCGTAATTAACCTGAACAGCAGATGTAAGTAGTGATAAAAGGCGACTTAGATGCAAAAAGGATCCATTAGTTTCAGAGTCATTTATTTCCTGATACAAACACTCCCACATGAGAGTTAACTCTTTGGGTTCTAGCTCCTCCGATAATTTTTGAAAGGCACTAATCACCACTTCAAGAATAGCATCTGAACCTACAAGAGGACATAGAAACCCTCAGAACCAACTAAAACTAGGAAAAGAAGAATACCAGCCACTAACCAACAAAAAACAAGATAAACCATGTTAGTACTAAGTCAGAGACAAAATACATTGCAGGGCTTAAGAATGACCAAGAAGAGCCAATACAAGCAATCAGCAAGTGAAAAATGTGTAAACTAAAAAAGATATACCAGTAAATAAATCACATAGTTAGCAAGTCCTCAAAGAAACTTGACTATAAACATTAATCACTCTCAAATATTTCCAACATCCTGTAAAGAAAGATCTAAGCATACACCATGTTTATTCACTATAAATGTGTTGCTTGGATAGATGGTCGAGCTAACAAAGTGAATAGATGATCAATACTAATGACTCTAGTGAGAAATCTCAGGCATTCTTCTTCCAACAAAGTATTGAATGGCCTAAGCCATCTACATAAAGCACAGCATTAGTGGTCTCTAGAAAGGCATTATCAGTGAGAAATAACATACCTTCAGGAAACTTATCACCAATAGCAAATATTGAATTGTCCACCAATAAACGCAAAACTCTCTCAGCTCCTGAATGGAACCTCGATGAGGTTCCTAGCATAACATAACATAACAAAGCACTAACTCCAGACTTCCGTATAGGTAATGGATTCTTCACAACTTCAAACATGGTCTTTCTAATACCTGTTTCAATCAAAATTCAGAAAACATAAGCCACAGAATTTAATAAAAACTCAAATTCAGATCCAACACAAAGCAACACAATACACATCATAAAACCACAAATGCATGTAACTCGCAACGATTCTCTTGATTCAAGAGATTCATTACTTTAATAATAGAAATGCAAACAGGAAAAAAAAAACAAATTAACTGGGAAGGGGAAAAACCACAAAATATCTAGCAAGAAAATCACATCAAGCAAATGTCTACCATACACAACAATTACATTAGAAATTCAAAACATAACCTACTTAATATAATACATTCAAATTCAACACAAAATGCAATAATCAACATCAGAGATATCAAAAAGGAACCCTGGTGTCAGCTTTAACATTTTTTTTTTCACATAAACAAAAATTGTAAGGGTTCCAAAATACTCTTACTCCCAAACATGGCGCTCTCCCTGATAATTATAGAACTTTTGCACTAAAATATTCTCCAACAACTTAAAACATCAAAAGCTCAATTAGAACTATTAATTGTATCACTAGCATTGTTAAAAATTATTCGAGGGCATGCTGTCCGAAAGAAAATGCAGAATGAGCATACAATGCTCAACTGGAAAAACATCCTATTAAAACATTATCACTAAGAGACTTAACGTCTGCAAGCTGAGAAAAAAAAACCTAGATCCTAATTCTAGGCATCATAAGAATAGGAAATTTGAAACAAGTTTCCATCATTGCAAGCTGAAACCTTTTATAAGTTGCTCAACAGGTGCATTCCGCAGCAAGAATGATGTAGCTTCTGCCATAAACTCTTGGACATAATCCTTCGGGTAATATCTCAATCGTACTGTAACCCTTCCGAACAAAGGGAAAAAAGAACATAAGCCACATAAATTGTGTCAAATTTGTCATTCTTTCATAATCCACTTCAGTCAAAAGAAAAAAAAAAAACTCCAATCTTATTCTTTTGTTAAACTTATCAAAAGTTGTACAACTAATAGGTAGTTGTCAAGACATTATACGGATCTATCAGAGACCTGACAACATCAAAAACATATATAAAACCTTAAGAAGATATAGTGAAACTCAAAAGATATGGTTCAGCAAAACTGGAAACATCATAGTGAAAATACATATATATCTTTATAGAATTCAATACTCCCCTCAATATCTGTAGGAACTACAAATGAAGCCCTAAAAAGGTTCTCCTCAACCACCTTTATCCCCTATAATAGTGTTAGTTTCGTTTTCCCATTAAGGAAAAAACCATCTTTCTTTCTGAACTTTTCAATAGTAGAAAATTCCCTAATATAAAATTCTTATCTCTTCACCCAGTAACATTAGAAGGAGAAAGGAAATGTGATTCCAAGATAAACTAAAAATCAACAGAACTATCCAACTAAATAAGCTACCTATTTCTCATACATACTTTGCAAAAACAAGACTCAAGAAATACTCACTTGAGAACATTTATGATGTCCCGTATGAGATACTTCTGCAAATGCATCATGATGCATGACCATGAAGTAAAAATCTGCATGCACAGGTGGCCTAGTTAAGAGTCCATGTCAATAATTACCAAAACTTAGGCCAACATTAAACAAGAAAAACAATATTAGAACTACTCAGGTGAGAGAATAGAGCATAGAGCCCAGACCTGCTCAATGATCTCTGGCTCCCTATCTGCACCACTTTTGAGGAGAGAGACTAATGCATCAGCCATCCTAGGCAGGAAGCTGGCCAAAAAGTTATGCAAATGAGTCAAATATAATAATAAAAGAAAAAAAAGCATAAAGAAATCTATAATAAACAACGTTGCCAATAATGAAACGGTAAAAAAAAAAACAAGAAAAAACAAACCATTGCTGAACTAAATGGAACCAAAACAAAAGGATTTCAAACTGTAAAAATTGAAAACAAAACTAGCCTTCATAATCACAGGTTAGCATCATTGCTCCTAATGCTAACCTTTCTAGAAGTCAACCACGAATAACAAGGATAAACTGCTCTTACAATTTTATCCCTTGCACTTCCTACAAATCATGAAAACGATGCAATGGCACTGGTTTTGGCACTTACACCTCTTGGGGTTTCTTCACTTGATAAGAATGGTTACAATGTCAAAATATTTTATTAGAAAGACACAAGTACCTTCATGTTATAAAAAAAATGTTTCAATGAAAAGACAAAAACACTTGTATCAGCATGTAGTACTTGAATTACAAAATTAAGAACCAAACCCCCACTTCTGACAGAAGAAACCTGAAGTGGCATAAATGTCAAAAATAAACAAGGAATTGAAAAACACAATAGGTGAAAGTATTGCTTAAACCTGACAATTGATCTAAGTCAAACCCTAGCCATATCAGTACATGCGGCTATCTATTGATTAAAGAAAAAATCTTGCAGTTATTGATGGCCCTTGAGTTACAAGAGTTATTCATCTCCTCTGTTTCTTTGACAACTGCACCACTATTGCATGATGCTGTGAATACCAGCAGTTAATACGGCAGCCACCATTCCTCTCCAGCAGGAAGCTCACTGGGGAGAAAAAACCTTGTCTCTCCAATATAAATCAGATGTTTCCATAACAAAATATGTTTTGAAGCTGTTTTTTCCTCTTTTATTTATTTTTCCACTCAGTTTTACTAAACTATGTAATAAACCAGAACTATCAATACATAAAACACAATATCTCAAGGCAATGCATCAAACTGTATCATGCCCACCCATATAGATGATATGTACTCCATGCATTACTTGTAGCATGGCCATAAATTAACCTATACATAGCATCAGTTGATACATGCATATGCACTTCAAGTGTCAATAACATGTAGCACTGCATAATTGTCATACACCAGAAAGGGAGAAAAAAACAGATTTGATCACAGGAAGAAGAGACTCACGGAAGAAAATCTTCAAGAAGGTCTCTAGAGAAGGCTGCCAACAACCTGCACAAAAGTTAGAAAACATTTGTTATCTCAAACCAGTGCAAACAGAAGGGGGCACAAAATGGAGCATGAGAAACAGGAACTTGAATACTCAGTATCAATAACACAAATTCATATAAGCTTTCCTTCAACCATAAAAAAAAAAAAAACCAAGATGGATACTAATATTACAACAGAGTATGCTGTAACATTATAGCCAAAGATAATTTCCCAAGATGGATACTAATGATCAAACCATCAAGCAGCTGCAATAAACTGTTGCAGCACTGCTGGCTGATTTCATCAACTGGTGTTAGACTGGATATAACATGCTATTGGTAAACTTGCTACTCAGACAGTCCTTTGTTCCTCTAGATCAATAATGCTGTTGTGCTAAACAAAATCTAGAGAGTCAATTTAATAAGCCTCCAGTCTGCCATTTTGTTTGAAGGACAATTAACAAAAACGAAACCAAACTTATAAAAGGACAACGGATAGAGCTTGATCAAGCATAAACTTACACACCTGAGTATAGGCTCAAGAGATAATCTTGCTTTCATTTGCAATCTCAATATAAGTTTAGTAAATATCAATTCCTTGTGCAAGAGTACCAAGGGTAGCGTCTGTACAAAAGGCATTGCTTCCGCATAAAATGAAATGAAATCCTCTGCAGTATTCAGTTCCTGCATTAACAATAAAAAACATAAAAAAAAAAATAACAGCAATGAAAGGAAAGTAAAGTAAAGTAAATACCATCTAAAATAACATTTTAATGGACCAGAACTGGTACGTTTTATCATATTAGATATGCTTCCCTAGTGAACTGCATTAAATCCAATTAATGAGCTCTGTTTCGAAAGCATAAATTATTTATTTCAAATAAGATCATTCATTTGTAAATGAATTCCGTTCTCCCCTGACCGTGAAGGATTCCAGCAAAACAATAAACTAACTAAAAGCAATCAATTCTAAAAATGTAATTAAAAAAAACCAAAAAAAAAAGTGGGTTCTAACATGGTCAAAGAAAGAAACAAAACTTTTTGATGAAAATTAACGCATACCCTCCACTCGACAAGGCAATCCCGAAGGAAAGATGAACCTTCAGAGGCCTCCGACTTGATTTTATTAAGGCTTCGAAATACATTTATATCAATATCCTCTATTCTCTGAGAGAAAGTCTTGAACTGCAATTACCCAAAGAAGGAAACAAAATAAGAGTTCCAAATTAAAATGATAAAAGAAACTAAAAAGAAAAGGAAAAAAAAGGAGACAGAAAAGAGCATACAACAAAGCGCCTGCGGCCAGGAGATTTATTGAGAGACTTGACAGCTTGAGCATGGTACGGTGTTGCCATTGCAGAGATAGAGAGAAAGAGTATTCGTTCCTTCTCTAGTTCACAAATATGAGGCTTTTTCGATAAACAGAATTTTGCAGGGTTTTACAAGGGTTTTAGCAAACTGGACCTCTGTTTCTCTGTCCTTTTTTCTTCTTGGAACTTGAGAGGCAGCCGCATCTTCGGGACTCTGAAAACCTGGCGTAAACAAGCGCTGGCGTCTACATAAGTTTAGTCGCCGACTAAAAAGTTTCCATGGGCTTGGACCGCAGTAGCACAAGCCCGGCTTCTATAGGGTTTGAATGTTGGACAGTTAAGCCCAGTCTGCTATAGATTTATAGTATTTAATTAAAATAAATTATAAAAAATGTTTTTTATCATCGCTTTATCTTAATTTTTTATACGTAACTTCTTGTTAAACCTTTAAAAATATATATTATTAATAATTGTTTTAAAGCATTTGTTAAAATTATCTAATGTTTTCACTAAATACATAAAATTATCATATTAATCATCAAATACTAAATTATTAATATATTTAATTTAAAATAAAATTGATCTTCATAAAATTTCAATGTAAATATTTTTAAACAGGGTAAAAATAAAATTATCGTAATAACAATTCATAAAAGATGTTATAAGAATTTTAATATTAATTAAATATGAATATAAATTCTTTTTATTTGATATAATATTTTAAAAATATCTTAAATATTTAAAAAATTATAAATAAATTTTTTTATCATATTTAATAAAATTTTATATTTATTTTTTAATCAAATAGATACTTATACTATTTTACTTATAAGAATTTTACCCAATATTAACAGAAAAATTAAAAATATCATTTGATTTAATCATTATAAAACATTATCACCAATATTTAATATGATATGTTAATATCATGTTATATAAAAAAAATAATTAATTTTTTAATTAAAAATATATTTATTAAAAAAATTAAATAAAAAATTTATTTAATGTAAAATAAAATTATCATTAAACTGATATTTTGAGGTTTTTATTATTTAAAAAATATATTTCGAGGTCTTAAAATTTATATTAGAAAAAAGATATAGTTTCAATTTTTTTTCTATTTTGCAATTTACTGTATATACTAAAATTTTTTGGTTATTTAAAATTTTGTCCTCAAATCCCGGTTTCACCCCCCACCCCGCCTCTAATACGTCCTTCTCCCAATTCTTCTTACCCTATTCACCCATCTTCGCCGTCGGGTACCAATTAACAGGTAACGCCCTTTCCCTTTCTTTTTCGACATAGTAATTACATAAAACATTTAAACCAAAACAAAAAAAAAATCTCTTCTGTTCCTTCATTTTCGCGGTAACCAACCAATGTCCAAACGGGCCCCAAAAATTTATCTAATTATGAAAAGTAAAATCTCAAATTTTTAATGCCTAGCCTTCTTTTCATTTTCCCTTAGCTTCGAATTTGAGGTTTTCCTTAATTAATTCTGTAAGTTTTTTTCTCCAAACAGTTTTTTGTTTTGGAATTTTAGCTAGGGTTTATTGGATTGTTTTTCAATAATTGAAATTAATTTAGATTTTTTGTTCTATTGAGTTTTGGCATTTGGATTATTGCTAATTTTTCTAGAAATTTAGGTGTATTTAATAGATGGCGGATCGAAACTCGACTGCCTCAAAGCCTATATGGATGAAGCAAGCCGAGGAGGCCAAGCTGAAAAGTGAGGCCGAAAAAGCTGCTGCTGCTAAAGCAGCTTTCGAAGCAACATTCAAGGATGTCGATAAGAACCGTAACAAGGATGTGGCGGCAGCTTCATCCGATAGTGAGTCTGAGGACACCAGTGACTTGGTGAACAAGCCAATTGGTCCTGTGGATCCTGCTAAGTGCATGGCAGCGGGGCCTGGAATAGCGGGTGGCACTGCCTGTGCAGCCTCCACGTTTATGGTGGTAACAAAGGATGCTGATGGGAGGAAAGTACAGAGTGGGGGTGCTCAGATTAAGGTGAAGGTTTCACCTGGTGTGGGCGTTGGGGGTTCAGAACAAGAGGGGATTGTGAAGGATATGGGAGATGGAACTTACACTGTGACTTATGTGGTGCCTAAGAGAGGGAACTATATGGTGAATATCGAGTGCAATGGAAAACCCATTATGGGTAGCCCATTTCCGGTGTTCTTCAGTGCAGGTAACATTGTTAAAGATGTGTCTATTCAATTTTTAACTGCATATTTTCTTGTCATGCAAAATTTTGTACCTCTGGTGATCCTAATTGATTGTTGTGTATAAAATGCGAACTTTTTAATGTTCAAATTGAGTAGTTTTTGCTTTTCATCTGAAATGCAATCTTCAAATCATATGTTATTTTTCGTGTGCAATGTGAAGAAGGCTCATTATTTGGAATAAGAGTTCTCAATGTAATTGACCTTTTCATAGTGTTGCTTCACTGCCAAACTAAATTGCTGTTCAATTTCTGTTCTTGCTTATTGTTTGTACATTTGGCTTCGCTTTTAGGCATGGTTCTTGGCTGTAGGCTGTAGGGCTTGTGGCATAGATATTGAATTTTTTGTCATGCAGGTACTTCAACTGGAGGACTACTAGGGGTGGCTCCTGCATCCACATATCCAAATCTAGTCAACCAAACCATGCCCAACATGCCAAACTACACAGGTTCTGTTTCTGGAGCTTTCCCTGGCTTATTGGGAATGATCCCAGGCATTGTTTCTGGTGCTTCTGGTGGTGCTATTCTGCCGGGAATGGGGGCATCTCTTGGGGAAGTTTGTCGAGAATACCTCAATGGTCGTTGTGCTAAAACTGATTGCAAATTGAACCACCCTCCCCACAATTTGCTGATGACTGCTTTGGCTGCAACAACAAGCATGGGAACTCTCAGTCAGGTTCCTATGGCACCTTCTGCAGCTGCAATGGCTGCAGCTCAGGCTATTGTTGCTGCTCAGGCCCTTCAAGCTCATGCAGCTCAGGTGCAAGCACAAGCTCAGTCAACCAAAGATTCATCTGGTACTTTTTAAACTATCTTGTTTTCGTTGTCTTTTTTTCTTTAATTTATTTTTGATGTTCCATTTATCTTGTTTTTATTTCCTTTTTAGTCAAGGGCACAAGCTAACAGTTGTCTGCTTCCTGTCAGATTCTCCTGACAAAGCTGGGAAGGCTGATGCGTTGAAGAAAACCCTACAAGTTAGCAATCTTAGCCCACTTCTCACAGCAGAGCAATTGAAGCAGCTTTTTAGCTTCTGTGGTACAGTTGTTGAGTGTACAATCACTGATTCAAAGCATTTTGCTTACATAGAATACTCAAAACCTGAGGAAGCAACAGCTGCTTTGGCATTGAACAATATGGATATTGGAGGTCGACCATTAAATGTGGAGATGGCTAAAACGCTTCCCCAGAAACCAGCTGTTTCATCAGTGGCTTCATCATCTTTGCCTATGATGATGCAGCAAGCTGTTGCCATGCAACAGATGCAATTCCAACAGGCTTTGCTTATGCAACAGACATTGACTGCTCAGCAGGCAGCTAACCGAGCTGCAAGCATGAAGTCTGCAACAGAGCTAGCCGCAGCAAGAGCTGCAGAGATAAGTAAGAAGCTAAAAGCTGATGGACTTGTTACTGAAGAGAAGGAAACTAAAAGTAAATCTAGGTATGTCTCCTTATCAGGACAAGTTTATTTTCTTTCATGTGTATTGTTTCTTAAGGCTTTGTTTTTTATAGAGGCTTCTGCTTCTGTATTGTTAATGAAAAGAGTTACTTGTTTTCTCCTCTATTTTCTCCTAACAGCTGCTATTATTAAGCTACATATGGTTTGCAAGCAGAGTTTCACTATTTGGTATGATATGCAGAACATTTATGTTTTGTCTTTTAGGTTTATGGGGATAGGATGGACTGCAGCATTTCTTTTAAATGAATAATGTTTATGACGTGCACTTTAACTATGAGCTGAACATTGTATCTGGTATGTACTTGTAATGGTTCTCCCACGTGGTCAAATCATGATTTTGTCTTTCCAGATGATATTTTTAGGTATTGAGAACCAAAGGAGATCAAAGTTTTCCTTTATGTATTGTAGACTTCAAATTTCCTTATAAATAAATTGGGAGTTCTGCTAATTTATTACTCCTGTTGACAGGTCACCATCCACTTCTCATGCAAGGTCAAGGTCCAAGTCAAAATCGCCCCTTAGTTATCGGAGAAGGTCAAGATCAAAGTCTAGATCACCAATCAATTATCGGCGAAGGTCAAGGTCCAAGTCAAGATCACCAATCAGTTATAGACGGAGAAGGAGGTCTCGCTCTTATTCACCTCCTCCCCGTTTCCAACGAGACCGTAGGTCCAAATCACCTGTGAGATCTCATCATCGTTCAAGGTATGATAGTGAACGGCGGTCATATAGAGATAGGGATGACATTGACAGGAGTAGGAGACGAGATCTGGATAGATCACGTGATCGTCGTTCATCTGTTTCAAGGAGAAATAGGAGTAGGAGTATTAGTCCTCAAACAAGAAAATCACCTCCTGTTGATTCAGACTCCCCAAAAAATAGCAGAGAAAGTTCACCAAGGGCAAGGAGATCATCTCGTCCTGATTCAAGATCACCAAGGCATCATAGGAGAAGTAGGTCATCCCCAAAGAATGATGATGAAAGAAAATTGAAATACAGAAAACGCTCTAGGTCCAAATCTGTTGATTCTGATAAGAAAAGGGATGAAATCCAGGTTGAAAAATCAAAGCACCGCAGCAGAAGGCGTTCCAGGTCATTATCTTCAGAAGGTAAGCATCGAGGAAGAAGCAGGTCTTCTGCAAGTTCAGATGAAAACAAATTAAAACACAGAAGGCAGTCCAGGTCAGTTTCTGTAGAAGGCAAGGTTCGCTCCTACAGTAAAATTGATGAAATGAAGAAAGATGAATCTAGACATAGTGATAGAAGGCGTTCCCGGTCAGGGTCTGCTGAAGGTAGGCATTACACCAAGGAGAGGAGTGATAGAAGCAGAGATAAGAAGTCTAAGCATAGGGATAGAAGGCAATCCAGGTCAAGATCTGCTGAGGGCAAGCATCACAGAGGAAGCAGGCTGTCCCCCAGAAATTCGGATGAAAATAAAATAAAACATCGAAGGCGCTCCAGATCAAAGTCTAATGAAGGCAAGCATCGTTCCAGTGATAAAATAGATGAAAGATCAAAACGTCGTGATAGAAAGCATTTATCATCTGCGGAATGTAGGCATCCTAGAGGAAGTAGATCTTCTCCGAGAAGTTCTGAAGACAATGATTCAAGACGCAGAAGGCGCTCTAGGTCAAAGTCAGCAGAAGGTAGGTATCATTTGGATGGTGGGAATAAAAATTCACCTCATTTTGGCAAAAAATTAGGCAAGACTGGATATGATAACGGGCTGCTTACTTCCATTGTGAATGATTTAAAAATTACAGGGGATGATGGAATATTGGCTTCAAAGGAGGAGGAGTATGACTCTAAAGTTTCAGTGAATGATGACCAGGAATTGAAGGGCAAATATTTACCACAGTTTAGCTGTGATGAAGGACTTTCACCAAATAACAGATTGGATGTAGATGAACTAAGCAAACTTGAAAGATCAAGTAGTAAGCATCAGCTCAACAGTAATGGTAATGTCTCCAACTCACCAAAAATGAAATAACACTAATGGAGTTGTCGTGTTGGTGACTAATGGTAACTTGTTTATGTTGTCCGTTGCAGGATCTGAAAATCATTCCATTTCTCCTTAGCAGAACTGAGCTGTGGGCTTTAGTTGTGGAGCTGGACCTTGGGGCCTGTGATTTCTGCAATCAAAGTTACTTCAAGCTGTCTGCCTTCTGACTCTCCAATTTGGGCTTGGTCCAATTCAAGCATGTTCAGATATGAACACTTTATATAGAGTTTAATGAGCTTTTGGCTCCTAAAGGATCGGCAGTTCACTTAAGACATTGCTTAGTGTTTCTTTTGGTGCTTGGATATTTAAGCCATCTGTTGGTTCTTCATAAATGTATGCCCTTTGTGCTCTTTTATCTTTTGCAGGCATGTGGAACTGATTGGAATTGAAGTCTCTGAGCTGACATTTACAATGGATAAAGTATTTCAAGCAGTGTTCTGCTTTCATCTGCAATCAACCATGCAATGTTTGTAGCAAGCTTCATTTACTGCTATGTGTATGTTGGACCATTATCTCTATTGCTGAATTGTGAATTTATTAAGTGTTTATTTCAAAGTTTGCATCCTTGTTTAGTTTTATTCTCTATCCCTCTGTATAAAGTTATTTATGTTTGTGTATGTACTGGCAAGCTTGCATCTATGTGACGTCTTAGGTCCTGCAAACAGTTGATTTAGAGAATAAAAATGCTCAATATTGAGAAGTTAGGACTTACTGTTGGCCTGTTTCCAAATGCACCTTTTACTGAGTTTGTCTGTGATCTGCTTCTTTTGTTACTGGTCTTTATTTTCTTCCACAGTCACCTTTGTCTTCTAGCAATCTTGATGCCCTACAACCCTTGGCCTTGGATTGATGTGCTTGATCATAGGTTCCAATTTTTATTTGCCGTTGATGGTCTGGACAGCCTGTTATATCCCAAACTCATGCAGGTTATATACATGGTGTTCCTGTTGGAGCTGTCAGTGATCAGTTTGCAGGGTTGATTTTTACTTGTTCTATGTGAAGGTATGCAGTCACTTTGTGGCAGAGAGCTTATGCCCTAAAATTTCTATTAACATTTTTGAAATTTCCTTAGTGTTGATTAATAAAAGTAAGGAGTGAATGCATTTCTCTGCTGCTGTCTGCAATATTTTATCTATTTGCATTCTATTACAAACCTGGTTCTTTACTCATATCCCATTTTTTTCACCTGCCCCATTTTTTTTTTCCTTTTTTTTTT